AAAATGTTAAATCAATTAAATGATTCATCACAGTGAAGAGATTATTGCAAATGTTCTCGACTATTGTCCAATTCTTTTTTTCTGGATCAATTCCAATAACAAGTGATGTGATTTGATTTTGAAAAAGATTTTCATCTAAATCAAAATAATCTCTCAGATATTTTCAATATTAATTGCTCAACAACAGATCAAAATCAAGTATTTTTACCATTCGAAGGGAGATTGATCATTTTTTCATCAACATTGTATAGACCAAGACCATATAAATTTGGATATCGGTTCCCAGATAAAATAGATTTCATAAATGACGATTCAATATTAATCCATTTGATTTTTTCACAAATTGAGGGTAAAATTTGTGAAGAAAATTCATCGATAAAATCAAAAGAAAACTTATTGATAATTTGATCACGTGAATATTTGACAAAATTCAAATGACTCGTGAATATTGGATCACGTGTAATTCCATTAAATCGTGGATGAACATCATGAAAAGAATAAAGAACTTCAATATTATTTAATTCTTTTAGAATTAGGAGTAGTATTTCGTCCGGCAGGTGATTCAATCTCATTCTTTCTCGTTTCTATTCCAGAGAGGATAGACACATTTATTTATGCGCTTCTTCTTTCTTGTTGACCGATCATATCGTCAACCAGAACAATGATAATGATTGACCGTCCGAAAAGGATAATATTGAATGGAACTGACGACAATAGATGATGTCTGACGGTAATTTCCGTTTTCCACATCCCAAATCACCCAAGTCGACCTAACAAAGTTCGATATGGATCTCATTGGAGTACAATTGATTTTGTGTCATAGGATTTACAAATCCGCAGCGTGATAGTTAGCAATTTTGATTTCTTTCAATTGAGGTTTTTGTAACAATTGACCATAGCTGTCATAATATCTTTACGCTGGCTATCCAGAGCTGAACGTCTCGATACCCACGAGGATAACCAAAGTGTATCTTTTGAGATGTGAGGAATTTGAGTGAATTTGGTCGGTCTATCTCGCGACCACAAATCAAAACTACATACTTCTGAACCAGCGTGGTGGTATAGATATGAGGAAAAATCCCGATCTGTAGGCATAGCACAACATGAGGGTGCGGGGAAAAGCTTGGTATGTGGACGAAAGCCTTTTAGGGTTTTAAATCCAACAATTGATACCTCGACGAGGGCCTCGTATGCTCATTAACTCTAGCTCAGCAACTTAGGCGTACAGTACCGAATTACATTCTCTTCTGAATTCTCATAGTTCTTGCTGTCTCTGATACCATTAAGTGTTTCCATTAGACTCTGGTCTTGAGCAGCAACTTCTTCAGACGCCATTCGTCGATATCCATCTCGTTACCCGTTGGGTATGCGACCAAATTCACTCAAATTCCTCCGAATTCTGGATATACTGTTGTCGATTTTTAAACGGATACCCGGGGTAATGATATTATGACATCACTCTTCGTCATTGAAGTCTTTTGTTTTTCTTTTTCAAATCGAAAATACAAACGAAGTTTTTATTTTCCAATCTCGAAAAATGTAGTGACATCTACGAAAATGAGCAATGATAAGAAGTTTTGGTTTTAACGAAATTTAACCACTTGTAATGTCGAATTTTGTCTGACAATAGATACTAGTTCAATCTTTTTTTCAGAAAATTTTATGGCGCGGTCGGCTCCGACCGGAATCCGGCGGCAAGGAACCTGTTGGAATCGGCGAAAACTGTGCTGGAATCGACTCAGATTTCAACGGATCCAGTCGCCGGAATGATCGACCTGGGATATAAATGTAGAAATGGGAGAATCATTATGTTCTCAACAATTATCAACAATAGGAGTGTATACCTGTTTCGCGGTCGTTGCACATCTCGATGATGATACATTGTTCATACATCATATTGCACCGACCGATTTTAATTTGGATGAACGTGATTTACGTGTAGAAGTTCAAATGATGCTTGAAAAGACAATTAGATGTCTCAAAAGATGTAAAGAAATGGATTCGTCTTTGAAATATGTCTTTATTATCGGCGGCGTGAACAAAGGGATATACAATCAATTAAACGAAGCATTAGGATTGGTCAAAGACGATATTTGAAATATTATGCCAAAGTCGTCGAAAGTCAGTCGTGAAGATTTACAAAATTTTGTTCAAAAAATAAAATACTTCAATCTTGCAATGAACTATCAAGATGATACGGTGCAATACGACAGTGATGACGATGACAACGCTGAAGATCGTCGTATTAATCAGGTGATATCGGATCTTACGGTTATTTCTGACCAAAAGGCAGACCCTTGCTTAATTTGCATTGCCTAATATTTTGGCGTAGAAAACAATTTAATAGGTGGTGCACAAAGATTCAAACCGTCAATCATCTATTTGTATGATTTTATGTATGAAACATGGCATTTAATTGGAACACATCCTTTGCAAGATATTTATTCAGTACATGTGAAACATGTGCTCAATTCATTTAATGACAGTCTAGTTTCAAGAGTCGCCGATGGCATGATTGATAGTGCCCAGCTCAATCATTCCAGCGACTGGATCCGTTGAAATCTGAGTCGGATCCGGTACAGGTCTTCTCGATTTCGGCACAGTTTTCGCCGATTCCAACAGGTTCCGACAGATTCCTTGCCGCCGGAACCGACTGTGCCATAATAACCCAGATCCGATCGGATCCAGCATCGGATTTGTTGACCTGGTCACGATCGATTAGCCCATTTCATCGAACTCATCAATCGACTGGCGAACAACTGCTCTCATGAACAAAAACTGAAGTTAAAAGAAATCTTTCGACAAATATGTGAATATGAATATGCATTTTGGGATGATGCCTATCAATATGGAATGCATTATTAACGAAATGTGATCGAAAAAGAAGAGAATGACATTGCATCGCTTAATATTTTTGTATTTTTTTGATTCATCAAATTATTTAAATCAGATATGTTTGTGTCAGTGCGGCACTTTCTATACAAAATAAATTGCACAGATACTTTACCTTCGTTCAACAAACTACATCTAAGTCGTAGATCAGAGAAGATCTCATTCACACACATTTTGACATAAATTTATTTTTGATGAGAAACTAAGATTTATTCACAGGAGAATTTTTAAATTTCTGTTCCAATTTATCCAAAACATTGACTGTTAATATCGCAACAATGGCATATTGAACAAGATATATTTTCCATCCGACATAAAATCGAGACAAACCATCCTGTTTGAAAGTTGTTTGGAAGATTTCGAACATCGATTGATTGTTTTGAAAGAATTTTTGTTTTTGAGTTTTGACATAATCGAACGGCATCATTGCACCTGTATTGACCACACCTACAATCATCCCTGCTAAAAACAAATCCAGATGGTTCAAGTCTTGAGTTTTCTTGTATTCCCGAAGTTTTGTTTTGGTCAGTTCATCGGCATATAAAAATGTCACCCAGGAAACATTCTGTCGGTACACGACAGCGGATGTTCCTCGATATAATTCTCGAACAATGTCAACGGTATTTACACGTTGTCGGAAGAATTCAAGTAGACTAATACGTTTCGGACTTGTCATCAGCCAAACTTTGACACGTTCGAGAGGATTTATAATCAAGATTTCGAAATTCGCGATGGAAAGACCGGTGAGAATTTTCGGTAAACGAGGATAACGTTGTTGAATTCGACTAGGTAAAATATGATTGCGGTAGAAATTCGGAAAAAATAACATCATTGGCCATCGATAGGTTTGTTTGATAGCGCGTCGAGTTGTGTTCGGAATGGCGCCAGAATAAAAACCAAGAATACCTTTCGATCGATAGATTTCACGAGCAACTTCGAGAGCATTGCGAGAATATGTTGGATTAGCCTGCCAACGTGTTCGAATCGTATCGAGAGGATGCTCAAGTGGAAGACCACCTATCGTTCGACTAACACCAATAGCAGCTGATATTAGTAATTGAGAAGTACGATCCCATCGTTCCATTTGTTGACTGAATTATAAACTAAAATTGCAGAAAAAGAACTGTGTTTTAAATGCGATAGAAAAAACGTAAAGCAAATAGAATAGGGGTAGATCAAATATGACTCATCCAGTCATTCGGTGCCCTTTTTTTCGTTCTGCAACTTGTTTTTATTATCTCATAAAATCGATGACAAAAGTCAATAACAAGACGAAAAAGTGACTATAGTGAATGTCCGTTATTTCTTCCATACCTGTGAAAAAAGAATTAATGCAACGCGTGCAAATGAAAGTGCGCATATATATTGACGTTCTCTTCGATTTTTCCTCTTACCATTGACTCATAAACAAAGAACGCCATAAGAACAAGAGATGACGCAACGTCACGTCTGCTTGGAAAGAGCGATAAAGAGAGAAAAGTTCCAAAATCGCAACAACAAAATGATGTCATATTTCCTTCTTCCGATAATCATTTTTCTTGGAAATATTTATATTTCTTCTCTAATTTCAATTCAATGGAGATGGTTAAGCATTTATTGTGTATACGGACACCAATCGTACAGGTTTTACGCTCTCGGCACAGAGAACTATAAAAGTGTATTTATTTTTATTTATTTCGAATTCCGATAGATCTTTATGATATAATGAAAAAGAAACGATCCGTGTTTATTGAACAGAAAATGTTCCAGAGTATAAATAAAACTGGGTGAAGTTTTCAATCATCACTGGCGAATGTCATTGACCAGATGAGAGATTGAGGTGTGTCAATCGTAATAAATTCATTCGTCGGTTTACTGTACGCATTTGAAGTACTGATCAATGTGTGAAAATTAAGTTCCATTTTGTCATCAAGATTCCATTGAAGACCATTTGTTAATATTCGAACGGGACCAGTAAATGGAATCAAACTGCAATATTTACCGCACATATTCGATTCTATCTGATGGATGCGATTGAGTCCTGGTTTGAGTAGAAATGTGACATCGTGATCGGAGATGAGAAATATATTGAGACTTGCATAGAGATATAGAGTATGAATGATGCTCATGGCTTGATCAAAACGGCCGCCAAATGTACAGAAGATGTAAAAGTGTTCAAGAGCTGGATCACCTACTTTTTCGATGGTCTTTTGTAAACATTTGGTAAAATCCGTTGCATTTTGATCTTCTGTTTCAATGACGGGCACTTGAAGAATCTCTTCATACAATTGTCGAGTTTCAGGTTGAATCGAATCCAGATCACCGCTGATAAAATCGGGTTTGAAATCTTCGAAACGACTTTCCTTCTTTTCAATAGTGAATTTTCGTAATTGATTACTTCCACCATCTGCACATGTTCGAATAGTTGCTTGAGACCAGAGTTTTTCTGTTAACCACTTATCAATACTTGCTTTTGAATAGTTCAAAACAATGATTCCATACCGCGATACAGACTGTTCATCATTCTGGTTGAAAAAATTTAATGGATAATGATCGAATTCAGACTAAAAGAAGAGCAAGTGTCAGGATGCTTTGATGCACCAAATCGTGATATTCTCCTACTTTATCACTCATCATAGTCAATGTAGTCCACTGTAAAGGACAAACAGTTTGTGTTAACGATTGTGTTATGCGATGTTTTTTTCTTCACACGGAAAATATTTTATTAAGTAATTTTTTAGATAAAATAGACGAAGAATATAATTTAATGTAATCTGTCTCTTTGATGTGCTTGTTACCAGCGGGAAGAATATTAATTCCAACAGATTGGTTATATGTTTGTTATTACTAAGACACGTGGGCATGGCGAAGAAAAAACTTTGTTGACACAAGACAAAAAGAAAAGGAACCAGTAATGTGTAAGCTGGCTTTTTCCTTCAGTTTATATTTGTTTTGATTCTATTTTCGTCCTTTATAGGTTTAATGGTAAAGGAGGGTGTATGAATAGAGATAAGACATTTCTCACATCCGTAGAGTCGAACTAAAAATTTTCAAAAGAATACAACTTATGGATGACGTCAGTTTCTCAAAAGAGATGCGAGCAGTCAGGAGGAGTTCAGCTGTACATGAAGCGAATTCAACCTATTTGGCAGTTTGAGTTTGGTGCATGTGTAGATTGACATTTACGAGGAAAAACTATCAATTCTGTGTGAAACTTCCAGAGAATAGAGGGCAGCGCTTTCTTTGTCTGCCTTTGACGATACTACCAATCTACTGGGGGAGCAATAGACTACGAGGTGTCGATCACGATCGATGATAAGTTATTGAGTTGAAAGTTTTTTCTCTGATACACTTCAATACTCTGCTTCAGATCGTATTTCATAAAGTTATTTACCTATAACGCTAAGTAGCCAACAATTCCCAGCCACTGCATAGCAGCTTACAATAGAAACTTCTCACTCTCGGTAATCGATGTCATTGTTAACTGGTCCACGTCCTTTTGTTGGAGTCTCTATTCTCACACTCTGTCCACGACTTCATCCAGGTTGTGTTCTCATTTCGCAACGTTTGACAAGTCCAGGACGTGGGACTTTACAGCTACCAGGTGGTCATCTTGAATATGGCGAATCTTTCGAAGATTGTGCTCGACGTGAACTAAACGAAGAAACTAATCTTGAATGCACTGCAGCTCCTCTTAAGCTCGTCTTCGTCAGCGATTCCTTGTTTCCGCCGGACGACGGTGGCCCAAGACATTACATTACATTACTGATGAAAGCAGAAATCAACGATGACGCATTACTTCGATGGATGGAACCAGAGAAGAACACGGAATGGAAATGGATTCCTTGGACGGATCTAAAAGATAAAAACTTGTTCACACCATTAAGAAAAGCGGTTGACAGTCTCGAATTTAATTCCATTACTGATATGTCTATGGAACAGCAAAATTTTGTTTAGAGAATCATTTCTAAAAACTCCAATAAATTCTGATTAATGTGTAATCTTCTTTTTCTCGTCTATAGAAACCTTTTTGTAGCTGACTGACAAAACAAAAATCATGATGAGGTTTGACCTTGCTAAGGAGTCTTCTCTAGGCATGTGGAAGATCAACTTTTTCATTTCCAATCCCGGTCCAAATCATTGTATTTTTTCTATTTGGTGTCTATTATGAAAAAGTGCGTTCATTTAAACACTCGATAGAATACACTAAATTAACTTGGACTACAAGCGGTACTCAGTGTGTGATTCAGTAATCTTTATTACAGATATTGGTTTTAACTTAAGCAGGACGAATAATGCGAGTGCGAGTTGAATTGGTAATGTACTTTCAATCTCACATCCGCACTCGATGGAGAGAATTTTAAAGAACACAAGAGAAACAAACTGGGGAAGATTACATTCAAATAAAAATAAAAATAACACTGAAGGTGTAGGTGCAGAAAAATGATGCGCACATTCTAATTGTGATCATCAAGTATCTCAATGTCCATAAATTTTTCAAGTTCAGAACCAGTTACAGTGCTAAATCGGTCAAAAAGAGCGACTTGAAAACTGGCTGCTCCGCACACATTTTGGTCTTTGGCTGCCAATTCTGCGCACACACTCATAACAACGAAACCTCCAACAGCTGCCACTAGGTAGTCTTTCGTAACACCGGCAAAGCAAGCCATAAGAGCAGATACAGTACAGCCCATTCCAGTGAGTTGATTAAGCCGATCGCATTGATTTTTGATTATCACCACTCGGTCACCATCAGAAACGTAATCTGTTTTACCGCTAAGCGCCACAACAGTCTTTTTATTTCTTTTCTGAGCCAACTGACGAACGGTTTCACAAGGATCTGCTGCACCTGTAAGTGAATCAACACCACGAACCAAAACCTGTTCTTTATTTATCTTTCCAATTTCACCAGAATTGCCTTTCAAGATGGCAATATCAAGTGAGTCAAACATTTTAATGATGACTTCTGTGCGATAAGTAGTAGCTCCGACTCCAACTGGATCGAATACAATTGGAATACCTTTTTCATTGGCACGTTTTCCCGCTAGATTCATTCCTCTTATCCATGACTCACTTAACGTGCCAACATTAATCACGAGTGCGTTGGCTAATGAAGCCATTTCTTCGACTTCCTCTACGGCATGTGCCATTACGGGGCTAGCACCGACATGAATAGTAGCGTTGGCAGTCAAATTCATCACAACGTAGTTGGTAATCTGGTGAATCATTGGCCGTTTTTGTCGAATACTATCAAACGCTTCGGCCACCGCTTTCTTCAAAGATGATACTGATGTCGACGTCATATTAAAACTATGAAATAACAAGATATGGTTAGGATTCTTGTTGAGCAATACAAAACAGTAACTAAAGAAAGATGTAGGTGATCCTGAGGGTGTGGATGGGACAAAAAGTTTATAAATACAGTCAGTAGAGCTCATAGAGTTCTACTTGAATCCAATGTGATCATAGTTGAAACGCACTGTTATACAAAACGGCTCAGGAGAAAGTCGAATTCGGACCCAAAATATCCTATGTGTCAAGAAAACTAAATGTCCCATTTAGTTTATCAAAAAATGGAAACTTATTTGATGTTTGATAAAAATCTAGTTTCAATTACAGCTTATTTTTTATTTTTCTATACCAGCAATGGTTTGAATACAAATTCCGTGTCATACAGTATTGCGAACAAACGCGTTTCAATATCATTTATATTTACTGATGGAAACATCAGCTCCCTAGCTATGACATCATGTGGATACTTACATATATTAATTAGGACGGAAATATCTCGGTATGCGTGTGTTATAACTTCGAAAGCAAGTTGTTTGCATGTGCCGATTGTTTGCTCACTTTTATTTATCTATAAAGAGTAATATTTATTACTATCTGACATGCAGTCGGTTTCTTCCTTTTTTTTTCTCTCTGTAACCTTTGCCATACAAAATAAAGCATACTCTTCAGCTATAGATGAAAACAAAAAAAAACAGTCTCATGGTAGTCAGCGAAAAAGGAAACGAAAGAGTGTCGAGTATCGCACAAATAGAATACTGATAATCGATGTTGGAAAGACGGGAGAAAAGGATGTAAAGAAAGGAATGAAAATAATCCTAGAACAGTATAAAGTCGACAGAACAGCGTCGAATGAGTTGTTGCATATTTTGACGCAGACTACTATTTATTTTACGTATTATTTTCATCATACTATTTTAGTACACCGTGATCGAGAAGAATATTTGGAATTGATTAAAAGAACTGGTCGAATTCCTAGCAAGTTTATACAAACAAAGAACTGTGAGTCATACTTGAGGCACGAAAACAATAGCTTACAGGTTTCTTTCCAACGTTACAGATAAGCCACGCAAACTTCAAAAGTTTCGGGTGAGGGTGCAGTGGGCGCAGAGTAGAAGTTGAAAACTCGAGTATTCGAATTGTAAAACTAGAGTTTTGAAATTCGAAGAAGATGTTTAATACTTAAATCGAGTTAACGATTTCTACACTACACTTTTTGTCAAAAGCCTATCAATTTCTAAAATGTAAACTAGACAAGAGTGATATCAGTTGCGTGCATCGTTTCAGATAACATCAAGAAAAATTGTTAGTTCGGGTCTGTTGCAAATAAATATGTCGGCTGTTGAACAGATCAATGCTAATCCTGTCGGTCGAACCTCAATGACGAGCGCAACTGCACGTGCCAATGAATCCCTTCGACCGAATGCACTTTTTCGGGATCCCTTTGCTCGAATATATGCAGGTCAGGTAGGTCCGGAAACGGTTGAAAACTTTGCTCGTATTGAAGATGCCTCGGCAGAGTCTATCACGACAGATATTGCTGTGCGAACGCGGTTCTTAGATGATCTATTAGAAAAGAGTATGACCACAATCAAACAAATCGTCATTCTGGCTTGCGGCGGTGATTTTCGTCCTTATAGATTGTCAGTACCGGAAAATTCGACACCTGTAGCATTCTATCTATTGGATGTACCAGAAGTTCTCGCTTATCGACAAAAATGTTTTGAAAAACTCGAGTCTTCCCTGCCGAAGGTAAATCGTTCAGTTGCCGAAATTGCTTGCAATTTAGTCAATGACGAATGGCCAGCAGAATTACTTCACCATGGATTCAAGCCTGATCAACCGACATTTTGGCTTGCCGAAGGCCTGTTCCACTATCTTACCAAACAAGATATTCAAAAGCTTCTTGAACGTATTCAGAAGCTCTCAGCGAAGAATTCCTGCATTACGTTCGATCTTGTATCGCCTCGATTACTCGAATTGCTGCCTATAATCAAGTTTGCACTCGATGATGAGCAAGAAATACGTCGAATTTTCCATGAATTCAACTGTGAAGATATAGAATGTATGTCATTTGAAAACATCGGTCTCACATATAGACGAACAGTTTCACGTGATCGAACATTTATTGTCACCGCTAAATTATTCAATCAATATAGTCATCTAAGCAATTAAAACTGTAGTCTGCAAACGTGATTTTATTTTGATTTTCTCGAAATTTCTCATTTAATAAAGAAAACTGTTTTCAAGTATCCCCATTAGTAACTTTGGTAGCTCTTACCAACCTTAATAATGTTTTCAAGGTTTTATGAAAATATAGGCAGTAGATCTGAAACAAAGTTCATTGTAGTTGTTGTATATGTGAGATTCATCATAATAAATGAATATTTGAGAGCGCGGGCACAACAGCGAAATCGAGTGATCTCCTTGAAACGAATCCTCGAACATACTCACTTGCTTATATGCGCTTGAGGGTGAGTGGATGAGTAGTGTAGAAATCGTTAATTCGATTCGAATTTTAAAACTTTCATTCGAATTCTAAATCTTTCAGTTTAGAATTCGAGCACTCGAGTTTTAAACTATTCAACTTTTAAACTTATAAATCTATAATTCGAAGTTTCGAGGTATCCGCTTCCCAACTCTTACCATCCAACTAACGGTAACGAATGCCGTTCACATTGACCCTGACCGTGCCGTTGTAGGCTGCACCCACACCCTCAAGATATGAGGCTGGAAGAAACCTAGTGATAAAAGATTATGAGTAATATTGAGTCAAACTATGAGAAACTAAATGACAAAGTAAATATTATGCCACTCCATCACGGAAATTTTGCCGTTCTTCCTTACAAGGTGTCTATAAATAAACAGTGAAAAGCTATGGTCACAGCCATTTTCAACATTGATCGAATGGAGAAAACTTTAATGAGCACCATTACAAAAAAATCTTGTAAGTAGTGATTTCATATTTTGCATACCATCTCAATTATATGTTTGTTCAAAGCTGTCTATCCAGTGGATGGACTTTCGGTGCCAACAGTTTTGTGTATTGGTGTTCACGATGCTACATCTCATACGATTGGTAGTGTTGTTAACATCAGCATTAACCAAAAACTTGGCTGTAGAACTCATCCAGTCATTACAAGTGTTTGTACTGGTCAAAATGAAATTAATCTACCGACTTCAGTTATTTCATGTCAACTTCAGCCTCTTCGCCAAATGTTGATCGATAGTATTAATATCGATGCTGTGGGCTGTGTCGAGAGTGTGGAAGAAATCCGAGAATTTCTACGCAATCTGGACAGTAAAAAGTCTCCTGTTGTTCTGAATTTAAATAACGAAGCTCGATTGAATGATGATGTGCTACAAGCAACCATTGATTCAATTTTGCCATTCTGTTCGGTTGTCATTATCACGCACGATGTGATCAAATGTCTTCGAAGTAATGAGCAACAATCCATGCAGAATGTTGCCAGTAAGCTTTTGACCATGGGCCCTGAAGCTATTGTTGTGCAAGACGAAAATGGACAACGATATGTTGTTATCAACGACAATAATGAAAGATCACAATCATCGTACTCTCTGTTGCCAACGCGTTCTCATAATTCGTACACAGAAGATCTTTCTGCTGCAATTGCTGCTTTTTTGGCTCATGGCAATCTTACATTGAGCACTGCTATTGCTTACGGTGACTCATATTCAACAGCTCGAGAGTTACACCAATTACCTGATGTACGAATATTGCCATATACTTTTGTTCAAGAAATGTGGTCATTCGTGGATGACATTCACAAACGAATACTCACATTGCCATTTATCAACAAGATGCTTGATAGTACTTTGAATGAACGTATTCATGACTATTATATTATCCAAGATTATTATTTCTTTCTCGATCGAGGATACATGCTGAATGGACTTGTCAATCACTGCATCCATGACACCGAAGTTCTCGAGTTTCTGAAAACTCAGTTAGAAAAAAATAAAAAATATATTAACACGATTCTTGTTGATAATAATTTGCCACCATGTGACGAAAATACAATCGAAAAAATGCCTGCGTGCGTATATTACACAAGAATGATGCGCGAATTGGGTGAACATCGCGGAATTCTTGCGACAATCGCAGGTCTCGTTGGTCTTCTACCTTGTACTCTCATTTATGCTAAAGTTGGCGACTGGATGATTGAAAGTGGGATTCGACCTACAATCAAACGGTACGCTGATTTCATCGACGCATATTATGATCAAGCGAGACACGATCGATTAGCCCATTTCATTGAACTCATCAATCGACTGGCGAACAACTGCTCTCATGAGCAAAAACTGAAGTTAAAAGAAATCTTTCGGCAAATATGTGAATATGAATATGCATTTTGGGATGATGCCTATCAATATGGAATGCATTATTAACGAAATGTGATCGAAAAAGAAGAGAATGACATTGCANGACTCATCCAGTCATTTGGTGGCCTTTTTTCGTTCTGCAACTTGTTTTTATTATCTCATAAAATCGATGAGAAGAGCCAATAACAGAACGAAAAAGTGATTATAGTGAATGTCCGTTATTTCTTCCATACCTGTGAAAAAAGAATTAATGCAACGTGTGCAAATGAAAGTGCGCATATCTCACGGAAAAACAATGTACACAATAAAGCAGGGGGGACTGATGGACCGTATTTGATTCCAGTCAATGATCCAACCACCATCCAAAGGAATCAAGAAAGGAATTGAATGTCTCATCAGAAGAACATTCTATCGCAGTACAGTTGATGCTGTTTCTTCGAATAACAATAGGCTTCACGTGCTTTTCGCGCTTCCTTTCCTCTTCTTTTTCTTTTCTCAATTTAACCATTTTATCATCTACGTTGGTACAACTCCTGGCAGGAAGAGAATCCTCATTGAATGGTCCACTAGTTCCCGAGCATTTGACTGAGTCAAATGCTTTTTCTTTTTTGCATTAAAGTTGTAGCTTACTAATCTCCCATATACTGTTGTCAGCTCTTCCGAGCGGAACAACAAATAAAACCGCGAAATATGAAAAAAAAAATTCCCTCTACTGGAAGGAGGGTTATGTGTCGACCAGATATTACAGAAAAAACGAGTTGATGTTCTTCCGTCCTTCCATCCGTTTTACTTAAAAATTATCTAAATATAAATACTAGTTGAAAGCAGTAAGGGTTGACCGAAAGGTAGTCGAGGTCGAGGAGAGAATCTCGAATCCGGTGTTAGTTTTTGATGAACACTTTCTGGCCGGTTTTTTTGCGACAAAGGATCAATTTTTTCAGACGATAATGTTTTAAGCGGCAATATGTAGGACAAAATGTAATAGCTGACTGACGTCCGAGCGCTGGATCTCCATAGTCATCAGCATATTAATGAGATGATAGCACACTTTTATAAACAGCTATACTATACGAATATCATCGGATGCCAGTCATTCAAAATAATGTTTCGCTTTTGAGGTGTTGTCTTCGACAGTCACAGTAGCACAAAGAGGGTGAATTTTATAGAAGGAATAGAGGACAATGAATGGATTACTTTCAAAAGTGACTCTAGACTAAATGGAAGAGTGAAAATGTACATGTAACGGCTAGCCGCGAATGGCCGACGAACGACTAGTCATCGATTTGCAGAATAACATTTTTAAGAACAAAATTTGTGATTTTTATAGAGCTTTAAGATTTCTTAGTCAGAAATGAATCGTTGCTCTGCACGAACATAGCTGGCAGCTATTTAAGGTTCCTCGTGGTGGAGAGAAGATTGAAACCTTTTCCAGAGAATCATATAGCTATGTAAACTTTCTAAGTTTTTGATTATGAATTGACTTTCCGAAATGTGCTCATTTTCGGAGCGCGTCTTCGTCCGAATGAAGTTAAGATAGTAAAATTAGTTGAAAAGTGAGATTTATAAGGCTGTCGCATAATGCCCATAATTTTTCTAAGGTATATAGTATATATAACGTCTTTTCGAGCTTCGAGAAAAAACTATGTAGATCATCAACTCATTCAACTAAAAATGATAATAAAAGATATACTGTAGGTCATGAAGTTGTGAAGAATTTCGGCAACTTTGTTAGAGACGGACTCAACAAGAGCAAGGTACTTTTTAATATGAAAATATCAATAAACACTTATTGGGTACCAACGGCTAGCGGTGAGTGGTTGACCGGAGAGAGTCCGACAAACGACTAGGCGTTATAATTTCAGAAGATTTCAGGAAGCGAAATGGGTCTAGGTAAAACATTCTGACAAATTATCAAATGATCAGATCGTTCAACTGAAATAACTTTTTTCTCTCTTTGGACGAATAGTAGCGCTCTAAGACCATCCTTTCAGTAGAGGGTTTGGCTACTATGCCGCGTTACTTGTGTTATACGTGGAATTGATTTTATTATCGCCTTGAAGGGAAAAGAATATTCTTTTTCTCATCCGTCTATAGGCAGATGATTCAGGTTTGATGAAAACAAGTTTAACACTGACGAGGGAACATATTTAGGTGATTAAGCGATTTAGATCCCATCTTTTGGTGATAGATAGACCTCAATGAGGTATGAAAAACCTCAAGAGGATTCGTGCCCTCGCGCCTTTATTTCAAAGAT